AGAGAGAGAGAGAGAGAGAGAGAGTGTATAGGTTACTTAAATAAATGTACCAATTCGATACCGTGTTGGCGTTGTCCTTGTGAGAATGCTTGTGTATTATCATGTTTATGTATATTATCTTAAAGCTTGATTGGGTGGTGGGCGGATGATCTGGTGTGGCTTGCCCCTCCTTTCCTGTTAAACAGCTATCGTCCTTTACTCTCTTTTTTAAATTTTTACTATTGTAACAACTTTAATCTTCAGTGCTTATGTGAACTACGTGTGTTGCATGTGCGGTAAAAGTCTTACTAAAACAAACTTAAAGCTTGTGCAACCACAGAGAAGCCATGGCGAGACGTGGCTATATCTGTGTTGACTCACGAGGTCGATTCAGATAGAAAATGTATGGACTTTAGTCCAGAAAAGATATGATCATACACTGAATGGTTTATCAGCTTGCTGACATACTCTGCAGCAACATTTATGGCCTTTTTTCGGCTCAGCTTTATATGTTAACAGACATCTGTTGGCTATGGAGTGAGTAAACAAATATATGATGACATTTGGACACTTTGCTCCTCTAATGCCTTTTTTTCTTTATGAAAAGAAATGTTTAAATTGTTTTATTTCTGTTTTTCGACTTGCTTAATATACATTCAGTCTGGCAAGCATTAATATCTTACAAACAAAATGATGTTGAGGAGACGAAGGAGAAAGAGGACGGATAAAACATGGATAGAGAGTTTGAGGAGGAGGAACAGATGATGTGGATGAAGGTAGAAAGCGCAGGAAGAGGAGGAGGAATAGAAGTTGTAAAGAATAGACTGGTTCAGGTGGTAGTAAAACTGACGTGGCATTCAATCCGAGACAAGTGGCCCTGTGAAAATGGAAAGATCAAATGATTAGAAGTTAGTCTCTTTTTGATTCACAAGAGGTCTAAATTGGTACGTCTCTCTTCCGACAAAGCCACGGGTAAGATTCTATGAGCTTTAAACTTCCTCTTCAATCCTGGAGCAAAGCCTTAGTTTTTGCCCTTCAAAGGGTCTACGCAAATTTATTGGAAAGAGAAGCGAAGATAAGCCGGCTGCTGCTACTGCAACTTCTGAAGAAGAAGAAGAAGAAGAAGAAGAAGAAGAAGAAGAAGAAGAAGAAGAAGA